ATTCTGTATATTACAAAGTTGTATCGAGAAAGAATAAATTTAGTTTTAATTAAGAAAAGACCTGTATCGCTGAAGTTCCTCGGAAAGAATTTATACCGTAAATTATCAAACAAGCAGATACGCAACAATATTATTACTACGGGCGGTTAACGCTTTGACAAAAACAATATAGCATTATGTAGCATTTCTATATGAAAGCTATTCCTAACCTCCACTTTCAAGGCTCGTGAAGCAAGTAAATAATATTTAGAAAAATTCAGCATATATTGTCATTGGCCTACTTTCATTTACTCTTATTCAGTTCCAAAACTTATTTATCTCTCTATCTAGCGAGAAAGAACTTGAACTTGCCAAACTGTACGATAACTGGCGTTACCATAGTTTTGCTCTAACTATCCGTTTGAAAAAACAGAATTCATTAAAGTTCAATGAACATCAAAATTTTAGTATATTTATATAACATTAAAGATACTCATGGTATCTGATATGTTTGCAGCGTAAGATATCCGTGATAATAAAGATATACAACCTTCAGACCGAATCGCTTTTAGTTCACAAACTTCGCAACGGCAATAACAAGTAGATGACGACCAAATTAAACAAATTTTAATAAGTGTAAAACGAAACAAGTACAGAAATAAGCACTTGAAGTGTTTTTCCTGCACGAGAAATTTAAAACGTTACGACATTCCTATATGTTAACGCTAAATCATACAGTTTAAAAGATCTAGTAATCTATTGGAGCGTCTCCAGGATATATTTCAATGAACCTGGAGCCGACATTCGTATGAGATTTACGTTCACGAAACCCATTCTTTGTGTTCTTTAACAAAGGTATATGCACCACGAGTTAAAAATAAAACTAGAAGATATAAGCTATAAGGCAGTAAGATACAGATCATTAAGTATACATCAGCCAAGTTTCTGTGAAATAACCTCGTGCACAGATCTATTTTAGCTAGCTTCTTTTCCACTGCTTATTTCTTATATATATGTTTTTTCAGTAAGTCTGTAAACCCGGACACTGGCAGGTGACTAACTATTGTTCTCGGACAACCAATACCAAGTTTCAAGCATATCTACAAACATAAATGATTTAAATATTTTCCTGTTTAATAACATGTTAATATACTCCAATTATAAGCCACTATATGGTTACCTCGTAACAAATGTTTACCAACATCATTAATTGTTTATGTCCGCCGTCCGATATATTCAAGTTGTTTATTATTATTTATAGTCCGTTAGAGGTACCCTTGTACGCGTTTGTTAATTCCGTTTGGAACTCAGTTGTACATGTTTATCAATCCAACATGTATCGCTCAGTCTTGAAGACTTCATACTTGTTTATAGCCCTCAATTCTAAGTTCTTCCTTTTTGTTATGTGCTTGTCAATTCAGCTTATGGGCTCACTTCTGAAGCCTTCATACATGTTTTATGTTTGTCAATTCAGTTTATGGGCTCAGCTCCGATTTTAGCTTCACGTCACATTAAATTTGCCTTCTTACAACTCAGTATTCTAAACGTGTTTTGTTCGTGGATTGAAGCTAATATCCTGTCCATCCTGTTTACAGTTCATATCACATATGACGGTTCCAAATTAAAAACTGTGAAATTTGCATTAATTATCTCACTTAACTATATGCAGAAAACAAAGGTGTCCTGACTGCACACACACACGTTTAAACAATATTAATGACGTCACGCGCTAATCACTATGTTCACTTTTGATAGTCTATGTACAGTATTTGAAAACTTTTCTTTAAACATGTATAGACACGAACAAGATAAAGTTCGCTAATAAACTTATAAATATACAGAAACATACTTCCACATCAACATAATAAAAGTTCGCTAATAAACTTACAAATGTACACAAACATACTTCCACATCAACATGATAAAGTTCGCTAATAAACTTACAAACATACACAAACATACTTCCACATCAACAGGATAAAGTTCGCTAATAAACTTACAAATATACACAAAGATACTTCCACATCAACATGATGGAGATCGCTAATAAACTTACAAATATACACTAACATACTTCCACATCAACATGATAGAGTTCACTAATAAACTTACAAACATACTTCCACATCAACATAATAAAGTTCGCTAATAAACTTACAAATATACACAAACATACTTCCACATCAACATAATAAAGTTCACTAATAAACTTACAAACATACTTCCACATCAACATAATAAAGTTCACTAATAAACTTACAAACATACTTCCACATCAACATAATAAAGTTCACTAATAAACTTACAAACATACTTCCACATCAACATGATAGAGTTCGCTAATAAACTTACAAACATACTTCCACATCAACATAATAGAGTTCACTAATAAACTTACAAACATACTTCCACATCAACATAATAAAGTTCACTAATAAACTTACAAACATACTTCCACATCAACATGATAGAGTTCGCTAATAAACTTACAAACATACTTCCACATCAACATGATAGAGTTCGCTAATAAACTTACAAATATACACAAACATACTTCCACATCAACATAATAAAGTTCACTAATAAACTTACAAATATATATATAGAAAAACCACAAAACAATTTTCGTGTTGCACTTATACTTTATTTGCATAGCAATTTATAGAAAACTTCATTTCCTTATGGCTTGATATAAATTCAACCAACTTAAAGTGACAAGTATATACTTTGAGGTGTGTGAAGCCAAAGTTATATATATTATAACCAGTGCCAGTTAAGCCTAAAACCAGTTTGACAGCCTTTCTGATACTCGTACACAAAGCAGCAACACAAAACGAAAACCAAAAACCCATTGAAATAAAGATGAGAAACAGGAATGGAAGTAAAAGGGAAGCTTATACGTACAAAAAATTTAGCTTGAGGGGGGTCTTCCGTGCATGCAAGAATGCCGACAGTGTTCATGGAATATTACAGCTGTCTTATTGGTCAATAAGAACAAAATATTTTTGTTTACAAGATGAATGATACATCGCATAAACTTAAATCATTATAATGTGTTTCAAAATGTGTTTTGCAGCTATGTAAGAAAGGATTCTTTTATCTTTACAAAATTTATGTGAATACTCACTGATAGTAGCAACTTTTATATTTTGTGCTGAAAAAAAAAGCAGATCAACGAACGACTTTTATTACTGTTTTTATATGTTAGTTATTTTCAATAATTTCAGTGCTGGTTCAAAATTAAGGAAGAATGAAATATTGCATAGCATATGAAATACAAAAACTTATTTCACGAGGGAATGTAATCTTCAGGCAGCGATAAGAAGAAAAGATGTCGATCTATAGCTTAAAAGAGACATGTAGACAGTTAACTAAAGAAATACTGTTTCAAGCACTTGAATAGAGAACTCGTTTAGAAGTTCGTCTTAAGAAGGAAATTAACGATGTTGTATTTTAACTTATGATAAGTAGTTAAATAAAGACCGCTCATTTCAACCTTCGATATTTTAACTATCTATATATCAAGACAAATGTGGGGTTTACCTACATGTAAACTTGTGGAACTTGTTACTCTTTGTATACACTACTATTTGCATTAGCACACTGTAGCGATAAAGATTGCTGTTTAAGAGATAATACGCAGACTTCTCAGTAGACACAGATACAATCTATCACTGAGGGTATTTACAAAGATAATCAAAATAAGACGTGTATCTAAGAAAGGAAGACTAGAAACATTCCTAGTGGTTTGTTAATGTAGTTTTACAAAATAAGATATGTATCTAAAATAGGAAAACTACAAACATTCCTAGAGGCTTGTTAATGTAGTTTTACAAAATAAGACATGCATCTAAAATAGGAAGACTACAAACATTCCTAGTGGTTTGTTAATGTAGTTTTACAAAATAAGATATGCATCTAAAATAGGAAGACTACAAACATTCCTAGCGGTTTGTTTATGTAGTTTTACAAAATAAGATATGCATCTAAAGAAGGAAGACTACAAACATTCCTAGTGGCTTGTTAATGTAGTTTTACAAAATAAGACATACATCTAAAAAAGGAAGACTACAAACATTTCTAGTGGCTTTTTTATGTAGTTTTTCAAAAAAAGCCCAAGGAGAAACTTTCATGATTTTGACTCAACAATCGCATAAATATATATATATATATATATATACACATATATGAATGAGCTGGAACTGTTCTTAAGTGAATAAGTTTTTTAAGCCTGGTAGGGTAGAAACAAATGATAATATTACGCTTCTTTAAATCTTGGTGTTAATCAACACGAGTAGCTTTGAACTACAGAACACTTGGTGCAGGACAAAACGTGTCAAAATATTTTAATTCTAAGAAAGTCTAAATAAGAACGAGTATCCTTTACTTATTTCTAACACTTCACACGAATTAGAACCACCGTTTACGAATCGTAGTGCGAGTCTTGTATATTTTAACTGTGCGTCTTCGGTTGATTTATTACACGAGAATCAGATGCAAGGTTTATGAACGACCCTGTTAAAACCTCGAACTCGTATCTTGAACCTTATTTAACTGTTGGAACCTGTTGAAGGTTGTGAAATATATGTGATGTAAATACACAATACGATTTACATCATCTCATATTATACAGTAACAGTTAGTGCAATGCGAACCGATTAATAAAGTAAAAACCTGTTGAAGGTTGTGAAATATATGTGATGTAAATACACAATACGATTTACATCATCTCATATTATACAGTAACAGTTAGTGCAATGCGAACCGATTAATAAAGTAAAAACAGAACTTGTGAAGTGTGAAAGGATATCTATTTCAGCTATATTAAAATCATAAAGAATTACCATTTCTATAGCACCCAGGAAATCAAAACAAAGTCCTCGACATCCTTTGGAACGTTCAAGTTCCTCTTTATCCCACGCCATTACCGAACCATATAAACATCTGCTACTACAAACAATCAGACTGACTCCCGAAGTTTGCGCGGACTCGACAGGTTTAAAGCAAGCTGCTGAAGACGTTCCAACCTTGAAACAAGCAACAGATAATATACTTTATTACCTTTAGGCTTAGAAGTAACTACGCCGTACAGTAAGTTCAGCGGCGTGCTGTTATCAGAGTCAAGGGGGCGGAACGGCTGTAGCAGAGAGTCGTGTTATCCGGATCAGTGGTTGTTCTAATAAGAACCGAAGTAAAGTGAGGTAGATGGGCTCAGATTTAGTAAACTTGTAGAATTGTAAGGTCAAGGTCATCCTGTACCAAAATAAAACAAACTCTAACCCTACATCTTAAAGATCTTCAAAATAAGTTATCTCTAAAAAAAAGAAGCGTTTTTAAAGGCATGTGCTTTAAAATATATTTGCATATTTCGTTAGAAAAATTCAGTTGAAATCAAATTTTTACTTAGTATCTCTGGTACAATCTGTTATGTAGCGTGATTAGCGTAAAGACAGCACTGTCAACATGTGACATGTGAAACCTGGATCTTTCATCAGTTTCCGACAAATGTATTCCAACCGATACAATATAACAATTTAATGCTTTCTTGTACTTCTTTCATTGTTTACTGGCATTGTATTAATTTCTAATCTTTCGTTTGATCGATTTTGTAAAGTCGATTTTGCTTGAATAAAAATAAAGCTAATAACATTAATATCATGTACATTTACCTCCTCAACGTTATTATGTCAATGATTTACAAGGCTTAGTTCTTGAAAAGACAAATCAAACATGACAATACATAAATTATTTAACAACAACAACAACAACAAAAAACAAACGAAAATGCATATTTGATCACTTCATAAAATACTAAGTACATTCCAAAGGAATTGTTACCCAATACCTGCAGTTATATTGTGTCTTATTTTATTGTTATATGTTCATGTTCGTCGGATTGCAAGTTAGCATGAACATTTTGATGGCTTATTAGTAACGGTACATTTTTTTTTTTAAATCAGATGTTCACTGTGACCGACTTTGAATAGAGAGATTTTTCGATGGATGATATTCGCAACCGTTTTATACTGTGTTAAATATACGTGAATGAATTTCATTATTCAAAATGATATTAATTAGTATTGTATAATGTGATACTGATAGGAATAAAAAGATATAATAACATTTACACAAAGATATCAGCTCTATTTATCAACCACTTATTTTGTATTTTTCAGCATCATACAGGAAAATACATAATTAACATTGAAAAATAAACTCAACTGCAGGGCCTTCGTGATAAAACTCTGGGATTGGACGCTCCTGAGACATGGACGATTTTAGGTAGGTTTCAAGAACCTTGCCAACCCTGTTGAACGCTCTTGAGACATGGACGATTTTAGGTAGGTTTCAAGAGCCTTGCCAACCCTGTTGGACGATCCTGAGACATGGAAGATTTTAGGTAGGTTTCAAGAACCTTGCCAACTCTGTTGGACACTCCTGAGACATGGACGATCTCAGGTAGGTTTCAAGAGCCTTGCCAACCCTGTTGGACGCTCCTGAGACATGGACGATCTCAGGTAGGTTTCAAGAGCCTTGCCAACCCTGTTGGACGCTCCTGAGACATGGACGATTTTAAGTAGGTTTCAAGAGCCTTGCCAACCCTGTTGGACGCTCCTGAGACATGGACGATTTTAAGTAGGTTTCAAGAGCCTTGCCAACCCTGTTGGACGCTCCTGAGACATGGACGATTTTAAGTAGGTTTCAAGAGCCTTGCCAACCCTGTTGGACGCTCCTGAGACATGGACGATCTCAGGTAGGTTTCAACATCGGAATAACTCTTCTCTGCGAATGCGACTGTTCGCTAGAGATGTAAATAGCGCCCAGAGAGTAGTATGTATATTGTATGTATGTTATGCAGCAATGATTGGTACATCCTCAGCTTCGTAGCTATCAAAATGCTTTTTTCGTCTGATATTAAGACTAGTAATTGTGATAATTATTCCACTATTAGTTTTTTATCGCCATCTTGTGTATACTAAAGATCGGTTCGTCGTTTGTAGACTAAAATACTGGAAATATCAATTACCATAGTTTAGCTCTGCGTTTGCTTATTGTCTATCTTGTTCAAGCAAATCGTGCGAACCTATAAAAGAACTTTGAAATATGTATGGTTCTGGCTCATCTGCTAACGACCCAGTTCCAGAATAAACTAGACTATCCGTTGTAGTTTACTTAGTTTTAATGCCTTCAATTTTATACTTCCATCTAGTGCAGAAAGAAGTTTGAGAATGATATTGAAAAGGGACTTAAAGATAGCCCTACTGCTGGCCGATGCCGGAAAATTAATATACATTCAATGAAGGAAACGAGAAAATGTTTGAATGATGAAACTTTGTAGACTGGACGGCAACTGCCTGTTGTAGAGACACAAGTGTAGAGGACGACGTAATGGACGGCAACTGCCTGTTGTAGAGACACAAGTGTAGAGGACGACGTAATGGACGGCAACTGCCTGTCGTAGAGATACAAGTGTAGAGGACGACGTAATGGACAGCAACTGCCTGTCGTAGAGACACAAGTGTAGAGGACGACGTTTCGAAAGTCTTCCGCCTTTTTTTATATCAATTTCAAGATCTGGCAGCATCACACTGTACAAGATCTAAAGAATGGTAGACACAAAGTTACATTTTGTTTAGCTGCAACAACTTTGATCGCATACCCTTGTGTGTTGATCTCTTACATTTGCTCCATTATTCCTTGACCTCAACAACCGTCGAACGGTATTCCATGTTTGACCTCAGTTTGTGGTTTCCTCGACATCCATCGAAATTATCCTATTTAATACACTCTTTAAATGCTGCCATTCAATTCTGACATATTCTGTATTTTCAATGCTTTAGAATTGCGTTTCAATCGGAGTTCTGATTCCTGCAACTTCATAAGATGTTTTAGATGTAAACTGCTTTTCCCGTGAGATTTTCCGTTTTACAAATATTGCCAGGAATATCAGCCAGCTGCATTTTTTGTCGCTAAACAATTACAGGAAAAACATAACAATGCATACAGTTTTAAAGAAATACACCAACTAGGGAATAGCACTTTTCCATGTTTTCCATTTTCCGAAAACGTATATCCTCTGAAAATCGTACTGAATATTCGTTAGATGAAGTAATAATAATAATAACTTTTAGACGTAGCTCTTGTTCAGTCGTTCATAAGTTTTGTGGCCATGAACCATTACCGAAATGTCGTCTTCTCTTATATTGTTATTAACGTCGTTAACTGAGCGAAACGTGTCGTTGCCAATGTATATCGCGAACTTAGCGTATTTCAAATACTACTATATGTATATTATTCTTCTCGGAAAAACTCAAACGGATCAACTAAAAATGTAGTTTTAAAATACAATAAGCCTAATACTGTGGCCTTACGACAAATATAATTAATCACAATCAGGCTTCGCCATCTTATTAAAAGTCATTCACACCATAACAATTGTTGTAGTAACAAATGGCTTATATAAATAGCGTTACAACCATTACTGTACTTATTGTATCCCAGCAGGCCTGATGAGCTCTGGTATTATGCGAAACATGTAAATGGCAATGCATATGGCGGACACAGTGTGGTTGAAATACTATTATATACTCTTTTTTCCTGGATAACCCTTAAGAACCGAATAAAGAATATTGTGTTAAAAATAAGCCTAATAGTTATGAATTAGATCTTTTTCTAATTGCATGTTTTTGATCTTCTCTACAAATTCTATAGAATTTAATTTTATATTTGATTTTATCTACTTGTACCATTTGATGTATTATCGTTATTTATTGAAACTATGAACATATTAAAATTAACAAGAGTGTGTGTAGAAATCGATTTTTCCAAAAGAGGGTTTATCTACGGGATCCCCCTTATCACCGTTATTATGTGACATTTACGTGGATAGTTTTGAAAATAAAGCTTTAAATAATGCTAAATTTTAACCAGAAGTTTGGATAAGATTCGTAGTGTGGCGACATGGTAGCAGTAAACTACAAGAATTTTATAGTTATTTAAATAGGAAAGAACCATCAATTCAATTCACGTGTTGAAATTTTAAGAAAATAATAGCATTACTTTTGTAGATGTACTAGTTAGAAAAGAAATAGAAGGTAACTACAATTTATAGAAAACCATTTGCTATTGTTTTGCCGCCACACAAAGAATCATGTCATAAAAAACAAAAAATATCAGCATTTTATACAAATATTTATAGAACTTTAAAAATATGTTCAAGACAGGAAGATTTAGATTACTAATTGTTATTAATTAAGTATATAGCTATTGAAAGCTATATGTTCAAGACAGGAAGATTTAGATAACGAATTGTTATTAATTAAGTATATAACTATATGTTCAAGACAGGAAGATTTAAATAACGAATTGCTAATAATTAAGTATATAGCTATTGAAAGCTATATTTTCAAGACAGGAAGATTTAAATAACGAATTGTTATTACTTAAGTATATAGCTATATGTTCAAAACAGGAAGATTTAAATAACGAATTGCTATTAATTAAAATTCTGATGCTTTTTAAATATTTTATATAATTGACTTGTTAAACCTGGAACATAAGGTAAACTTAGTTTCTTTTTTTTTCTTTCATAAATAGATCTTAATGTGGTATTTTTAACTGTATTTGCACCTTTGTTAAATTTCTTAAATGCTTTGTCTACTATAATTGGTTCAAATCCTTTATCAATAGCTATATACGGTTATCATATCTTCAAACCAATAAATAAGATAAAAAGCATGATAGGTAATACTTGTTTGTTTGTTTGTTTGAAGTTAAGCACAAAGCTACACAATGGGCTATCTGTGCTCTGCCCACCACGGGTATCAAAATCCGGTTTCTAGCATTGTATAGGTTATACTAAAGATAAAATAAAATTAAAACTAATAGATAAGACGGGTATTTACAAAATAGAATATGGATGTAG